GATGTCCTCAATATATAGGAAATACTGGGTTTTGTGTGTGTTTTCATCAAAGGCCTGGGTGTCTTGTGTTGGAAGGTTGTGGGCCATTACTGGGCTGCTAAGGTACCCTTGTGGTAGCACAGCAAACTGATCTCCTCTGCCTTCCCACGGAAATGCAGTCATGGGTTGGCTCTCCTCCTCAATTGAAATAGCAAAGAACATGTCACATAAGTCTCTCACTGTGTCATAAAGTCTGGATCCGGTGGTGATATTGGTTAGGATGGTGCTTATATCCCAGAGTGCTCCCTCAGTTTGGGGAGAGTTTTTAAATTCCTATAATCTACTGTAAAATGATATGGCCTGTCTGGCTTTTTAACAGTCCAGATTGGGCTATTATGTAATGAAATAGTAGGCACTTTAATTTTTTCCTCTAGGAGTTCCTGAAGGTTTTCCTGATTTTGAGTATGTTCTATTACATCCGTGCCAGGAATGTTTTGTGTATTGGGAAATTAGAAGGCATTTAACCTCAGTGGGTGGTCTATCATCTCTTGTTAGGAATCTCCATACCCATGTCCCTGGGGTTAATTTTCCTCCTAATCTTTCATTAGTCCTTTTTTGTTGTTAGGTTTATTGTAGATGAGTGGGCTAGCCTTGTATCATTGTTATGAACCCTATATCTAGCAACACGGTAGTGTATGTAATATTCTTATTTACCAAGGTGTTTCTATTGATATGGCCAGCACAAACTATGCACCAGTCTCCAGTATGGGCCAGGAGGGCTCAGTGGTGTGCTCTACTTCAGCTATCAGTGACTTGTCTAGTAATGGATTAGGTTTTTTATAAAGGGGTTGGTATGACAGTAAATGGGTTAATGGGTCTATGCGTTAATTTTCTGTAGGTCTATTTACTCTAAAACATTGGTTTCCATTTCTCTGCCACAGTTGTGGTTTCTGGGGTGTCTATTTGTGTTTCTATCTTTATAATTTTGTTAAAGTGGGGTGGTCTAAGTGGTTTATGTGGCCAAGAGGGCCTTGGAGATTTAGGTCTATATGGTCTATTTTGATGAGGTCTATTTATATTCGGTGTAGGCCTGTTTTGTCTCTATACATGCGTGTTAAAGAAAAAGCGTTTATCTTGACTTAGTGCCTCAGCTGTTCTTATCAAGTCAATCAGCTCTCCAGTGTTTCTGGTTCCTGCAAATACTATAAATAATGCTTTCTTGTCTGTGGGGGTTCAGCTTTTAGGATGACTTTTAAATTTGTTCTGGAGCAGTGAGGGTGTCTGTCCTCTATTATAAATCATAGTCAAAGGCCTATTTCATTATTGTCTTAGCTTCCCATGCCGTTTTCCAAAGAGATGTTTGAAGGAATAATATACTACATATAGGCCATCTTAATCTTTTTTTTTTTTTTTTAGCTTTTATTTATTTATTTGGCAGAGAGAGAGCAGGAGAGCACACGCAGTGGGATTGGCAGAGGGAGGAGAAGCAGGCCCCCTGTTGAGCAGGGAGCCCGATGCAGGGCTCGATCCCAGGACCCTGGGATCATGACCTGAGCTAAAGGCAGTCGCTTAACCAACTGAGCCACCCAGGCGCCCCCAGGCCATCTTAATCTTTAGGTGGCTGCTACCCAGCCAAACCAAATTCCTTGTAAACTAGTAGTATTTTCTCCAAATGCTTGAAAGTTTTGATTAAATTTACTATCAGTACTCATGGGCCCAAGTTGCACAGTCTCTGCTCCTGTAAGGATCAGGTTTTGTCTTCCTTTGGACCCTAACTTTCGTAGCCACTGGATTTCTGGGTCCAGGTCTGTTTGTTGGAATTCCATTTTAGTTTTTCTGTTACAATCTCTCCCTTCAGTCACTCTGATTGGTTTCATAGTATCATTTGTTGTTATTTTGTCTCTTTTCCTGGGCCTAGCAAGAGCTGTTGCAAGAGCTAATTGTCCCAAGGTCTTCACAGAGCTATTTTAGACCGGCAAAGCGAAGCCTTGCCCATACTGAACACTCTGGATGAGTCCTCACACACTGTCAGTATTTACAGTCTACATGTCTCCTTGCCATAGTTGCTTCTCCAAATATGAAGGGGGCCCCTCAGCAGCTGAGCTACTTGTTGTTGTCAGAATGGATGAGATGATTCCTGACCAGCTTACTTCATTCTTAGATGAAAATAACTCTACTTCGAAAAACACTGTTTTCCTTTTTCATAAAACCAGTACACTTAAAATTAGATCAAACTAATATACAACACAGGCAAACTTGGAGGGATCTGGACTGTCCTCCCAGGATGGGTCTAGTCTGGCTGGCCAAGGTATCTTTCACTAAGAGACACCTGGGAGTCTTGATTGCTGGGAAGCCCAGGACCCCACTGGCATCCAGTCCAAATGGGAGTGCCACCAGCATCAAGTTGCTGCCACAGAAAGATTTTTAGGAGTAGGTTTCCTTTGCTCTGGAGGCTATGCAAGTGGTTGGGGACTAGCCTAGCTCTACAGCCCGGGAGCACCTTGGCTGAGCAGGTGTGTATGGGGCATGTACCAGTCATGCATGTCCGGGAAGCCAGGGACCTGGAACTGGACAATGTCAGGAGAATACAGGTCTCTAGAGTGGGGTCTTAGGGGTCCATAGCCTCTGCCTAATTCCAAGCCCTTACTTAAACATATGCGCATAATAACCTTGAAGGCATCACTGAAGAAAACTGGATTGCCTTCTAGACCAGAGCCAGTAATCAAGGCTCCCAGGTGTTTCTCATTAGAGGATGCCTCATCAGTCCGCCAGGCCCCACCCTGGTAAGGCAGTCCAGTCTCTTCTATCTCTGACGTACACATTTATGTATGTTAAATCTTGAATTGAGGTGGAATCCTTGTACCCCTAAGGGCCTGTTCCTGTGCTCCAGGAACAGGTCTCTGGCTTTAACAGGTCTCTGGCTACCCTGAGCTTTACCCCCAGCATATGCACCCTTTCAGATGCCCTTAGGCAGCCAAGGACCTCCAGGCTTTTAAGCTCAGGTTGTTTGAAACCACTTGCATAGACTCCAAGGCAGAGAGAACTCACCACCCCCCCCCAAATCTTTCTGAAGCAACCTTTTTAAACAGGTGACAGTCCCCATTTGGACAGGCTGCCTGATGGGGCCCCAGGATTACCAGTGTTGAAGACTCTGAGGTGGAGTCTTAGTGGAGAATGTCTAGGCCAATACCCCCCTGCCCCCCAGCCCAGTCATAGCAAGATAGTCCATATTCCTGCAGCTTTACCTTCAGGAAGGTTATGCACATTTGTGTAGGTTAGGGCTTGGAATAAGAGGAGTTATACCCCCCAAAACCCACTCCTGTGACCTGGGCTATCCCAACACTTGCTCTGTAGTAGGTCCCTGGTCTCCTTGATCTTCATGGCCAGCGCACCTGCAGTACATGCCAGTCAGCTGGTCTTGGGCAGCTGCGCCCTCCAGGGCTAGGGAGCCTAGGTCAACCGCAGAAGCCTGCATAGCCTCCAGGGTGGGACGCCAGCCCCTTGAAAATCTTTCTGAGCCAGCTTCAAACTGGTGACAGTCAATCCCCATTTAGTCTAGCTGCCTGACAGAGTCCTAGGTTTACCAGTATGGGGAGGGGCCCAGGGATGGCTGCTCCCCAAATTTTCCACAATGGCATATTAGTTATTTTGAATTAAAGTTACTTAAGAAATGGGGTAGTAAGTAATCTCCTGTGTGAAATAAATCCCCTGTGTGAAAGGTACCTTTCCTGCACCAGGAGGTAGAGAAATCTTTTTCTTTTCCAACAGTTTATGTAGTGAGCAGGACCAGCTTCCCTGGCTGGACATTGCTCATTGGTGAGGTTTCTGGATCTCTGTCTGCAGAGTCTAATGGAGTGAGAGCCGTTTTTCTCTTTCTAAATTTATATTAGCTATTCCTTTACGTATCATGACTCTGGTAAATTTGGTGGAGTACTCTTGATTTAACTGATCTATTTCCTCCCAGAGATGGTCACTTTTTCTTTGTCTCCATCTTTTATGTTGTTATAAAAAGGAACTAGATAGGGAAAGAGTGCTGGGGATAGGCCCTTATAAGCCTATTGTTGAAGACAGCCTTACAGACTCAGGGGTTAATAGTTCTCATCAGACTGGCATCTGTTGAGCTAAACTTTGCTTTGAGTCCTCTATGTTAAAACAAAAGAAAAGGGTTTTTTCCTTTCACATTTTTAATGTCCTGAAACCTTGGCTTTGTGGCCACTGCCATCTGGAGGGTGCCCTCACTGTGGTGTACTGTGGTGGCCAAATGGACGGTTTCCGAGGCACAAAGTTACAAGCAGCACTCTTTGTCCAGCTGTGCTCAGGGGAGTTTCTCGTAAGAGGTTCCAGCACATAAGGGAACTTTGTGGTCCCAACCTTCATTGCTCCAGTGGTGTCCACTTGGTGTCACAGATCAGTGAATTGGTGCCTGGAGGCATCTCACATATTTACAGGAGACCAGAGATACTCTTCACTACCCTAGCCGTACAACCCAGGCAAAGAGGGCTTTTGCTATCTTAGATCATTTTGGGGAGAAAACTTTTGGATCATTAGGGCTGATCATCTTTGTCCTCTCCACAAACACCTCTTGTGTCTATGGTCTAAGCCAGGAAGTTTCCACTGGGTCTTTCCATAAAAAGACTTATTTGGGGAGGGTATGTGTTATGGTGAGCGCTGTGAATTGTGTAGGTCTGATGAATCACAGACCTGTACCCCTGAAACAAAAATACATTGTATGTTAATAAGAAAGAAGGAAAGAAGGCTTATTTGAGTTGGTATTGAGATGATTCTACTCATGAATGGCCAAATGATGGATCCTTTAGATTAGCTATATTTGAAGGAAAAAATTCTTTATGGAGAAGTCTTTTTTTTTTTTTAAGAATTTTTTATTTGAGAGAGTAAGAGAGAGCGCATAAGCAGGGGGGAAGGGCAGAGGGAGAGGGAGAAGCAGGCTCCTCGCTGAGCAGGGAGACCAATGTGGGGCTTGATCCCAGGAACCCGGGATCATGATCCCAGGGGATCATGATCTGAGCCGAAGGCAGACGCTTAAGTGACTGAGCCACTCTCCTCTTTATGGAGAGTTCTTCATTGTCTTATTGTAACCAAACTCAAGTTCATGTGCCCGATGTCCATCAAAGTCGATCACTGAGACATTGAGCATGTGGCAACAGTTTATTTGAAAGGCTGCCAAATGAGGAGATGGGAGAACAGCTCCAAAACCATCTCTCGGAGAGGGAGACTCGAGGGTTTTTTTGTTTTTGTTTTTTGGGGGGTTTTTTTGTTTGTTTGTTTTTTTAAAGGAAAGCAGAAAAGAGTCTGGGTAAACGGGAAAGGAGCTATGCTACTCAAATCAGATAAAGAAAGTAACCAAGTCAAGGAGGGTTAATTTCATTTTGTTGTGCTCAAAGAGGAGTTCAGTGGTCCTGACTGGTTCTGGCTGGCTTCTTGATGAAAACTTGAGTTCCTGCAAAACAACTAAATTAACACTCAATTGTTTTGGCATCAGGCAAGGATATATAATCTTATAGGAACTTGGGGGCAGAGAGCATTCCAAGAACAAGCAGATCTTTGCTTATCTGCCTGGTTAACTCCTTGGTTACCAGTTTTATTTATTTATTTATTTATTTTTAAGATTTTATTTATTTATTAGAGAGAGAGAGAATGAGAGATAGAGAGCACGAGAGGGAAGAGGGTCAGAGGGAGAAGCAGACTCCCTGCTCAGCAGGGAGCCCGATGTGGGACTCGATCCCGGGACTCCAGGATCGTGACCTGAGCCGAAGGCAGTCGCTTAACCAACTGAGCCACCCAGAGGCCTGGTTACCAGTTTTATTATCAGTATAATGGCTAGCCTTAGAGACTTTCTTAACAAGATGGAAAAACAGAAATTAGATGGACTTAAGACAAAAATTAATGTCCACATCCAAAGTAAATTCTCCTCAAAATCTGGTTCCCCACTACCTGTTTTAACTTGCATTTCCTTAGAGAGCCGTCTGGCCTAATCTGTAGGCCCTAAATGCACAGGTTATTCCTGTAAATGCTTAAAAGCCAGGAAGAAAATGTAGCAGAACCTGTTCCTTACATTTTTTCCTACTTTTCAGGGCTCTGTAATCAGGCTCTGTCAGCTTCAGACATTTTTTTTTTAAAGATTTTATGTATGTATGTATGTATGTATGTATGTATGTATGTATGTATGTATGAGAGAGTGTTAGCACATTGTGGGGGGGGGAGTGCAGAGGGGCAGAGGAAAAGGGAGAAGGAGAAGTAAGCTCCCTGCCCTGCCCTACATGGGGCTCTAACACAGGACCCCGGGATCATGACCTGAGCCCAAGGCAGACATTTATTTTTTTTTAAGATTTTATTTATTTATTTGACAGAGAGAGACACAGCAAGAGAGGGAACACAAGCAGGGGGAGTGGGAGAGGGAGAAGCAGGCTTCCCGCCGAGCAGGGAGCCCGATGCAGGGCTCGATCCCAGGAAACTGGGACCATGACCTGAGCCGAAGGCAGACGCTTTAACGACTGAGCCACCCAGGCGCCCCAGTTTCAGACATTTTTATGCAATGTGTTTTGCAGATGTATCCTATACCCCTCACTGAAAAAAAAAAATATGTCCCCTGAACAGCAACAGATCTTTAAAATTATAAGACCCTTTTACCTCCAGTTTAAGAAGATCCTACCAAATTTAGAGAGAAATTAGATTACTAACCATTCACAACCCCTCCCTCACAAAGAAAAGAGATGACCAAAATTTCTCCTAGGCCCTCCTATGTTAATCAGCTAAAGGCCAATATTCGGGGGCTGATAGAAGCCAAGGTTGAATTTAATACTAAGAAAGAAGGTTTTTGTTAAAATACTTTATACAGTCTTTACAAGGACACAAATTTTGATTTTAATTTTAGTTAAAATTTTCCCAGATATAAAGTAGCAAACTAAATTAGAAAAGTGGGTCAGTCCCTTGATTTTCAGGATGTAATCCAGTTCTTGGGGGAAATTAGAAACAATGGTCTTTTTCTTGCAATCCTTACAAACCAGGAAATACAACTCTAGAAACCAAAGTCCACTATCTTTACCAATCACCAAAACTCGCCTATTCCTTTCAAATATTTCTAGATATTATAGAAGATCATGATATAGGGCGAAAATTATCCTGTACTTTGGAAAAGGAGAAAAAAAGGAAAAAATTAAATAGCAAATATGCCAAAACTCTTCAGAAAAAAATTATATTTTTTCTTTCAAGTTTTTATTTTAATTATTCTTTTAATTCTTTAAGTTTTTATTTTGATTCCAGCTAGCATACAGTGTGAGTTTCAGGTGTACAATATAGTGATTCAACACTTCCATACACCAGCCAGTGCTCATCACAAGTACTCTCCTTAATCCCTATCACCTGTTTAGCCCATCCCTTCCATTTCCCTTCCAGTAACCATCTCTTTGTTCTCTATAGTTAAGAGTCTTGTTTCTTGATTTGTCTCTCCCCTCTCATTTTTCAATTTGCTTGTTTATTTATTAAATTCCACATATGAGTGAAATCATATGGTATTTGTCTTTGACTTATTTCACTTAGCATTATAGTCTCTAGTTCCCTCTATGTTGTTGTAAATGGCAAGATTTCATTCTTTCTTATGGCTGATATTCTGTTCTCTCTCCCTCTCTCTCTCTATACATATATATAACCACCTCTTCTTTATCCATTCATCAGTTGATGGACACTGGGGATGCTTACATATCTTGGCTATTGAAAATAATGTAGCTATAAAGATAGGGGTGCCTGTATCCGTTTGAATTAGTGTTCTTGTATTCTTTGGGTAAATACGCAGTAGTGAGATTAATGATCATAAGGTATTTCTATTTTTCACTTTTTGAGGAACCGCCATACAGTGGCTGCACCAGTTTGCACTCCCACCAACAGTGTACGAGAGTTCCTTTGTCTCCACATCTTTGCCAAAAACCTGTTGTTTCTACTGTTGTTGATTTTAGCCATTCTGACAGGAGTGAGGTGACATCTCATTGTAGTTTGATTTGCATTTCCCTGGTGGTAAGTGATATTGAGCATCTTTTTATGTGTCCGTTTGCCATCTGTGGGTTTTCTTTGGAGAAATGTCTGTTTATGGCTTCTGCCCATTATTTTCATTGCATCGCAATGGGCTTCTGCCCATTATTTTCATTGCATTATTTGTTTTTTTTGGTGTTGAGTTGTTTAAATTCTTTATATATTTTGGATATTAACCCTTTATCGGATGTGTCATTTGCAAATATCTTCTCCCATTCAGTAGGGTATCTTCTGGTTTTGTCGATTGTTTCTTTTGCTGTGCAGAAGCTTTTTATTTTGATGTAGTCCCAATAGTTTATTTTTGCTTTTGTTTCCCTTGCCTCAGAAGACATATCCACAAATATGTTGCTAAAAGCAGTGTGCAAAACGTACTGCCTATTTTTTTTAGGAGTTTTATGGTTTTAGGTCTCACATTTAGGTCTTCAATCTATTTTGAGTTTACTTTTGTGTGTGGTGTAAGAAAGTGGTCCAGTTTCTTTCTTGTATGTAGCTGTCCAGTTTTCCCAACACCATTTGTTGAAGAGGCTATCTTTTTCCCACGGCATATTCTTGCCTCTTTTATCAAAGATTAATTGATTATATAATTGAGTTTACTTCTGGATTTTCTATTCTGTTGTATTGATCTATGTGTCTATTTTTGTGCCAGTACCATAGTATTTTAATTACTACAGCTTTGTAATATAACCTGAAGTCTGGAACTTCCCATTTTGTTTTTCTTTTTCAAGACAGTTTTAGCTGTTTTGGGGTCTTTTGTGGTTCCATATAAATTTTAGGATTGTTTGTTCTAGTTCTGTGAAAATCGCTATTGCTATTTTGATAAGGATTGCCTCAAATCTGTAGATTATTTTGGGTAGTCTGGACATATTAACAATATTCCTTCAAAACATGAGCATGGAAAATCTTTCCATTTGTTGTGTCATCTTCAGTTTCTTTCATCAGTGTCTTACAGTTTTCACAGTACAGGTCTTTTAAGTTTATTCCTAGGTGTGTGTGTGTATGTGTATTGGTGCAATTGTAAATGGAATTATTTTCTTAATTTCTCCTTCTGCTACTTCATAATTGACATATAGATATGCAACACATTTCTGCACATCGATTTTGTATCCTGCAGTCTTCCTGAATTCATTTATCAGTTCTCTAGTTTTTTGGTGGAGTCTTTAGGGTTTTCTATATATAGTATCATGTCATCTGCAAATAGTGAAAGTTTTACTTTTTCCTTACTGATTTGGATGACTTTTATTCCTTTCTCTTGTCTGATTGCTATGGTTAGGATTTGCAAGACTATGTTGAATAAAAATGATGAAAGTGGACATCCTTGTCTTGGTCCTGATCTTAGAAGAAAAGCTCTCAGCGTTTCACCACTGACTATGATGTTGGCTGTGAATTTTTCATAGATGGCGTTTATTATTCTGAGGTATGTTCACTCAAACCTACTCTGTTAAGAGTTTTTATTATGAATGGATGTTGTGCTTTGTCAAATACATTCTCTGCATCTATTGAAATGATCATATCATTTTTTATCCTTCCTCTTGTTAACATGATGTATCACTTTGATTTGTAAATATTGAACTACCTTGCAGCCCAGGAATAAATTCCACTTGATCATGGTGAATGATTTTTTTAATGTATTGTTAGATCTGGTTTGCTAATATTTTATTGAGGAGTTTCCATAATATGTTCATCAGCCTTTATATTTCTTTTTTTCTGGTGTCTTTATCTGGTTTTGTTATCAGGATAATGCTCATAAAATGAATTTGGAAGCTTTCCCTTCCTCTTCTATTTTCTGGAAGAGAGTATCTTCTTAAATGTTTGGTAGAATTCACATGTGAAGCCAGCTCATCCTGGATTTTTGTTTATGAGGAGTTTTTGGATTACTGATTCAATTTCATTGCTAGTAATCAGTCTGCTCAAATGTTCTGTTTCTTCCTGATTCAGTTTAGGGAGGTTATAGGTTTCTAGGAATTTATTCATTTCTTCTAGGGTGTCCAATTTGTTAGCACATCATTTTCCATAACATTCTCTTATAATCCTTTATATTCTGTGGTGTTATTTTTCCTTTTTCCTTTTTGATTTTATTTAAGTCCTTTCTCCTTCTCTCTCTCTCTTTGTTTTTGAGTCTGTTAAAGGTTTATCAATTTTGTTGATATTTTCAAAGAACTATCTTTTGGTTTCATTGATCTGTTCTATTTTTTTAAATCTCTAATTTGTTTCTGTTCTAATCTTTATTATTTCCTTCCTTCTGCTAGTTTTGGGCTTTGTTCCTCTTTTTCTAGCTTCTTTAGGTCTAAAGTTAGGTTGTTTGAGGTTTTTTTTTTATTTCTTGAGGTAGGCCTGTATTACTATAGACTTCTCTCTTAGAATAGCTTTTGCTGCATTCCAAAGATTTTGGACCATTATGTTTTCATGTTCATTTGT